CCCGGCATTCCGTTCATCGGGCACCAACTCGACGCCGCTCTCTTGAGATGAAGTGTTGATGCCAATCAAGTCTTCCTCCCTTTGGAAGCTTCCTTTAAACATGCACGTCGTCCCAGAGCGAGTGGCCACTGTTGCATGACTCCCGCAAGACCTTTCCTTGTCTGCTCTTATATTCGCTGCGTTCTTGCTGTTTTCATTGGGAAATTTTCTCAAAAGGCCTGTCCTTACCGTCCCATCCCGCTCCCGAACCAGACCAAAAGAAGCGTGAAGCCATCGTCAAGTTTTTTTTCTGTTCTTTCAGCTGCAGTGGGGATTTCATTTTGATTATCATTTCGGCCCGTGGACTACAGTATGACCCATCGACAGGCCCCGCCGCAGCCGGCCCGGGGCTCGCGGCCCCAGACTGAGAAGGTATCCAGCTCGGCCTCCAAGAGCAAGGGAACTAAAGCGCCGGCTCCGGCTCCGGCGCCAGCTCCGGCTTCCAAGTCCGCGAGGCAGACAACTCCTATCGCTGCACCGAAGCCCGTTCGCCCTGTTTCTTCTCACAAGCTTCAGCCACCGGTGCAGCAGTGGACGGGAAACCCAAGCCCTCCCTCTTACACCAGCTTCAACGTTCCGCCACCCGCAAGTCCAGTACCAAAAGCCGGCGCCAACGGCCCTTCGGCTCCCCCGAAAGCTCCCTTATCCGGCCTCGGCCGTGTCGCCGACCTCCGCAGCCCGGGACCCGGCGCCCTCACCAGCTTTCCTCCACCTCCGCCGACACCGCCACAGAGGGAGCCCACCGGTTACTTCCCAGCGGGCGCAGGGCAGCAACAACAGCAACAACTATCATCAGCACAAATCAAGGCGGCCGCAGCTCGTATCCCGGCTAGTGCGGCCAATGGAGTCCTGACACCACCCGAAAATGCGAAGAGGACTGGGGCACCTGAACCGCGGCCTGGTGTGATCGACTTTGACAACCTCGAAGAGACGCTCCAGAACCTGCGCTTCGCGCCCTCGCCAATGCTGTCTACTATCTACTCCGCCCCGTCGACCCCCCGCGACGAGCTCGCCACGCCAGACTTCACCGCCAGCACCACCACATCATGCTTCACGCCTCCCTCCACGAACCCGACCCCTGAGCCCGTGACGCCGTTGGATCTCACCCCTCGAGGACCGCCTCCAGCGCAAAAGCAGCAGCCAAAGAAGGAACTCACAATGTCGCCCACGAGACCGCGCGCCAACTCTCGAAGAGCCAGCCCGCCCAGCAGAAAGCGAGGACGCGGCGTCGTCGCCTGCATCGACAGCCCCGTCACCTTTTGCACGACGTGGTACACGCACCCTACCGCGCCCGACTTCTCCATCTGCTCAAAGTGCTACGAGGACCACCTCGTTGGCACCCGGTTCGAGCACGACTTCCGTGGCAAGATCTGCGATGATAACAAGCCGCGGGTCTGCCGCTTCAGCAAGCCCCGCGTCAGGGACCATCTTCTCCGCAACACCCTCGCCACGGGACGCATCGAGGACCTCGTCACCTTCCTCCTCCACAGGAGCGCTGTTCCGGATTGTAGGGGCGCCGATGGAGCCAAGGGAAGCGAAGGCGCCAAATGGTATCGTCCGAAGAACAATGCCGTACCAAACATGGTTGTCTGCCAGGCCTGCTTCGAGGACCATATCCAGCCGTACCGCTTCGCGGCCAATTTTGAGCAGGCCACGGGACAAGCCACCAACGACGTCTGGTCCTGCGACCTCTCCACCCGTTACATCCAGAACATTTACAAAGAGGCGGCCGTCAAGGACGACTGGCTCGGCTTCACCAAGGAAGCCCTCGCTAGGATGAACCTCCCCCCTTGTGCCAAACGCCAAAAGGTTACCGTCACCTCCCGCAAGTGGTTCACGCCCACGGCCGCGGGCCACGACGGCGTCCTCGTCTGCGCAGCTTGCTACTGCGACTTCGTAGCCGGCACCGGCGAGGAAGGAAAATGGTGCGACGCCGGCACGAACCTCGCCTCACGATACGGCAGTCTCGTCTACTGCGCGCTGGGCCACTTCAACATTGGCATCGCAATGTCCTGCGCCACCGAGGCCAAGCAGTACTCCATCTTCTGGAAAGCCCTCGACGCCGCCTGCAATGAGGAGTTTTGCAGCCCGCAGGGCATCACAGACGGGACGTGGTACACGTTCCCCTCCCACCCAGCCGAGTTCGGCATCTGCGCCGCCTGCGTGGCCAACGTCGCCGAACCCCTCGGCCTAAGCTCTTCTCTCGTGCCAAAGTGCGGCGTGTCATCCGGCACGACGCTTCTATGCTGCTTCAACCCCGCGAACCCGCGCTTCGCGCCTTACATGACGAAGCTTCTAGAGTGCCACTTCACGGCCGACACCCAGCCGCTCGAGTCGTACGCACTCGAGTTTGCCAGCCTGCCTCTCTGCCCGCGCGACGAGGACTTCCGCGACAGGCGGTGGTACGGTTGGCAGGACTGCACGATTTGCCCGTCGTGCTACCACGAGTCCATCCGCGGCACCACACTAGCGGCGACCATGCCGCTCAAGGGCGTCACCGTGGCCGCGAGCCTCATGTGCGAGATGTACAGCCCGCGCATGCGCAACCTCTACGCCCAGGCTTGTGCCCGTAACGACCCATCGGAACTGCTCCGGGTGTCTAAAGCCCGTCGGGCCGTCTATGTCGAGACGGTCCCTACGATCCGGCAGATGATTATGGAGGCGCAGATGGCGTTGGGGCAGCAGCGCGTGTTGAATGTTGCAAGCTCGACGAGCCGGGCTATGGGACAGGCGAAGGAGGTTGTGATGCCGAGTCAGGGGGTGTATAGTGTGCCCGGCGTTGGATTCGGTTTCTCGAACCACTTTGAGGCTCAGGGGGCCTCGTACAGCAAGCAGGCCAACTTGATCATGGCGGAGTATGGGTCGGGATCGCGGACGCATGTTATTGGGACGTTGGAGAAGAGATGGAGAGAGGTTGAGTGAGTTAAATGCCTTGAATGAGCGAGGATGTACATGCATGTTTTTTCCTTTGTCTAAAGATACCACTTAGAATATTGAAAAGTCTTTCCAAAAGATCCATCAACTCTAGCCTCACTTGCACTCTTTGATGTTCTAACACCAGCATAGGAGCACGGGATATTACTGCGTCAGCTTCGGGTACGCACTCAGAGCTGCCTGTCCGCCAGTATGCAAAAACAGCGTCGCCTTTCCATTAAACCCTCCCGCCTTGGCAGTATGCAGCAGACCAGTAAATGCCTTGCCAGTATAAACCGGATCCGTCAGGATCCCCTCCGTCCGAGCCAATGTCTTGATGCCCTCCGCCGTTCGCTCATCAAGGTGGCCGTACGAGCCTCCAAGGTACTCGTAATCGATCTCAAAGTCGTTTCTCGTGATCAACTTGGGATCCAGCCCAACCTTCTCCGCTGTGGTCCTCGCAATATCCAGCACCATCTGTGCGACGTCGTCCTCGGCCTTCCTCAGGATCGAGTATCCGACTAGTCGCTTCCGCGCACCGTCACGGCCGACCTGCTGCGCGAGCTTGAAGCCGGCGACAAGGCCGCCCAGGGTCGATCCGGAGCCGACCGCGACTACTATGTTCCTGATATTTGTGCCATATTTGTCTTCCCACTCGAGAAGCTCAAAGGCCCATCTTGCGTAGCCTAGGCCGCCGAGGGGGTGTGTGCTTGCGCCCGCTGGGATCACGTATGGCTTCTGCCCGCGACTCTCAAGGGCGGTGACGGCGTCTTCTTTGCTCGTGTTTGGCGGGAAGGTCTCGGCACCGAGAATGGAGTTGAGCTGGATGTTTCCTGCGTACTTGTACTCCGGGTCCTCTGACGAAACGGCAGTAACGGGGAATAGAGCGACCTATCTATCTGTCAGAGGAGACCTGCGCCATCTGAAGACGGGTAATTACGACCTCTATGCGAGAGGCATAGACTCACTTTCAAACCTAGCTTTGCCGCAGCCGCAGCGGTCTGGCGCATGTGGTTCGACTGGGTCCCGCCCGTCGTGACTATTGTATCCGCACCTTGATCGATAGCGTCCGCCAAGACGTATTCTAACTTTCGCACCTTGTTGCCTCCGAACGCCAGACCAGAATTACAGTCATCACGGGCGATATAGATGGCCCCGTCCTTGGTCCCCTCCTGCTCAGGTAGTCGGTGCAGCTGTTCAATGTCTACCGGCCGGTCATAGGTCAACTGGAGACGAGGGATCTCGCTGAATGGATGTGGAAGATTGACCATGTTTACTTGATCTCTAGCTTCATTCAAAGGATATGGTTCGGAAATATCCCAAACTCCTGGTCTTTTGGTTTGAGGCGCGAGAGTTGTGGCCTCAACTTGAGACTTTGGAAGAGGGGCCATCTAAGGTGAGATGAGTGACCCCGCTCCAGCTAATTCCATGTAAGCCTATGACGTGCGATTTGGGATGTAATTTGTCAGCGCTGGTGGTTTTGAACTTCTGTTCACGATTAGATACTCTGGTACGTCGATGTATCCAATCCACGTTCATATGATGTCAAGCAGATACCCACGCACCGGACCAAGTAGCGCTCGAAACGTCAAACCTTAAACACATAGCCTTGAATACTGTCTTGTGAGAGCACACACTTGTTATCTAATTGTTATCCAAGCAGAAGGATACAAATCCACCTATGGTCTATCACTATGGCTGGAAGTTACGACACCATCGTCTTCCCTAGAGACTGGGAATTTAGACAAAGTGCAGGCCATTCAGCGACCGTTCTTAGTTCGGCGCGCTCAATATCGATAAACTGCTCGTCTCCCGCAATCTTTCCCAGCCTTACTGGCCGCAGGACGTCAAGTTAGACTTTATTTCGGCCATCGAGGTATTGCACAGGTAAGTTGAGAAGCAGCCCACTCTACTGCTTGATGCCAGGCACCCTTCCCATCTTACCTTCGACATCTTCGTTCCCCTACGCACGCGTGATACCTCCTCCGCAAAAAACACAACCCCGACAAAGAGCCCAGTTACAAATTACCGGATACACAACAGCAACAATGAAGTGGGCAATTATCTACTGGCTCCTGCCTCTCGCCTGCGTGGCCCAAATTCCCGTTGATCCGCTCCCTTACACACCCCTCGGGCCCAATCCTACCCAGAAGGTGTTTCCCACCACGACCTGGTGCGCAACAGTAACGCCCACCGAGATTCCTGGTGTAAAGCCCAACGTAACCCTCTCATGTACAACATACGCCCCGGAACCGACAGTATTTGCTCGATTCAACCGCATCCCGAGGGCCCGAGGCCAGGCACGATGCTGGTACGATAGCTACGTCGACAGGATCGAGATCGAAAAGCGCACGCTGAACAACCAGGCCGAAATTCTCAAAGGTGTCTACGAGTGCCAGGATAGGTGTCAGCAGCCTCTCTCGAACGGCAAAGAGTGCAAGTATGCCGTCTACGTCAAAGCAGGCCCTAGATCGAAAGACCTTTGCTTGTTGGACAATCTGGTTTACGAACCGTTAGCTGTTAATTACCGTGGCCCGTTCGATTCTTGGCTCTGCATTGGCAGCGAGAAGATGCTGCCCGAAATTGAGGATGCTCCAGATGTAAGTTCAGATAGTCGGTAGACGATCAGGATTAACCCGTAGCTGATAATTTCAGACGAATGAGGGGGAGATATAAGCTCTTTGGGCGTAGGATTATCGATCAGTTCTGCACTGAAATTCGACGCTTGGCAACATCAGCACCATCAAGGCGAAATTCGAGGTACCGTATTCAAATGGATAATGCACGATAGGGGCAAATGCAGACGGATCTTACCAACATCAAATCTTTCCGACACGGCAGCTCAATTCAACCCGTAATCTGATCGACATACACCGCATCATGCTACGGGGATTGCGGGTAATAGCTGATCAGGATATAAATTCACCGGGAATGTCCCAATCTGTGCGAAGTATCTTATTCTTAGATGTAAGAATGAGGGAATCAGAAATGATTACTGCGTCCACTTCGCTAGCATTCAGCCCTTTTGTGAATCGATCTCTACACCATGCCGAGTCAAAGCGGATCTCAAGTCGAGCAAAAACCGATGAACATCACGGCAGCGGGCCTGAGAGTTTTCACATATGCGATCCGAAACAAAGTTAATTATGCAGCTGGCGTGCTCAAAAGATTGTAGGGATCGACAATGCTATCTGATAAGCCTTAGAGATTATATCCCTTGAGAGGAACCAGACTCCTCGAAAGGAGATAATTGAAACGACAGTAAATGCTAAGGTATATGTTCCATAGCGCCTAAAATATGCAATCCAAATCCACAAACACAGATTTCATACCCTGTTGGATGTTATGTTCGTAAAAAGCCAGATTATTCGTCAAGAACCCCCCATCCCCAAATTTACAAGAAGAGAGCGCCAACGGCAACGGCACCAATCAGGCCGAGACCTTGAGGCGACACAACACCCGCAGCATTGGGGGTCTGGGAAGTCTGACCGCCCGCCGTGGTCGGGGTGGTACTGCTGCCGCCGCTGTTGCTGCCGGACCCGGATGCGGAGGTCTGAGTCGGGGAAGAGGATCCGCCGCCGACAGCGCCGGGGGTGATGGTTGTGGTGAGTTGGGCCGAGGCAGTGGGGCGGGCCGCTGAGACGGACGGGGTTGTAGACGCGTAGGATGCGGTCGAGGCGTAGGAGGTGCTGGCGAACCCGCAGGTTCTCAGGATGTCGTTGATATCTAGGTCGATGTGTGTCAGTATAAAACGAGATTGAATGATGATGTGTTGTGGTTCATCTGCTTACCATCTAGGTCATCTCGGTCACGGACGTTCTGGTCCATGCAGCTTGCGCAGAGTGCGGCATACTGGGAGACGTTGATGCTGTTGTTTGTGCAGACGCACTGGGCCTCAAGACGGTCCTCGGTCAGGTCATCTCTGACCAGGTCGTCATTCACCTCGCAGGCTTGGCCGAGGTCGTAGATGGGACGGCAGACCGCCTGGCACTGGGTGGGAATGTCATCGTTGTCGAGCTGGAGGTCGGCCTGGACGAAGGCGACGGCAGCAAGGGACAAGGCGACGCGGTTGAAGTGCATTATGGCTGTTGTAATTATTTCCTGGGGGACTAAAGTCGATTTCAGGCTGAAACTGGTTGAAATATGTCACAATGAGTTGATGTTGTGATTGTTGATGGTGTCGGAATGCTGATTTGAATCCAGGATGTAGAGCGGGATGATGCCGGATATATACTCATGTTTCGGCGAACGACTCTCCTCCCAGGGGCGAGGATCCATGGATCAACAACTCAGAGTCGATCAACGGCGGAATAGACAGACAGACCACGTACGAAAAGCATGACCGTGTCTCGGGCAGCGACCGCGCATCGTCACTCAGAGGCTTGGGTCTTGGTTGGTCCCTTGGCGCTGGCAGTTCTCCATCTCCGCAGCTTCCACTCAGTTTGTCGCTATTCGAAAGTGGATTTCGATGAGGGAAGCCAAGAAGCCCCCTAGCTGCCCCAGCCTCAATTGACGACTCAACATCCCGGGCGTTATTCGACGGTAGTTTCTCGTTGTGTGACCGATTTGCTAAAGCCCACTGAACAAGTCTAAATTGAACACGCGCTAATTACCTAAAGTCGAGCTCTCGGCAAGTGTTGCTTGGGGGCCTTTCGGTGCTTGTTGGTTGTCAGATTGCTCCATTAGAGCCCTATATCATGTTTGTTCTACGTCCGCCGTCCCCGAATCCCCAGGAAAGCTTAATATGATACGACTAGGGCCCCTTGTGAGCAGGTGAACAGTCACAATTTGCCGACTCTAAGACGGATAAGTGTCGCGTGCTACAACTGACAGCATAATAATTACGGACATGACCGCTTAGGCAAGGTCAATGCCGGCCGACAGCCGGGCGAGCAGCCCCAAACACCTGAAGTGGCGCTATAATAACCAACCAACAAAATGCCAGAGGTAAATGCGTATCACGGGTGCAAGACAGTTGCGTTACTTTTGTGCCTCTCGTTAGCACATAGAGTACCATTTGCCAAGGTGAAGAACATGGCTGTCTACGCGTATGCTTAGCCTTCTCGATATGAGGCATGCGAAGCAAGATCCATCACTGAACTTGGACATCTCGCCTCTTCCAGAAGCTGGCAGCCGTGGATCTTGCCAAGACCCATTGCCCCGTCGACTAAATCTTCGTTATTTTGATTATCTGCCAATTTAATGTACTTTGGTTACTTGCAGAGAGGTAAAGTAGTCGCTACAAACCGTATGTAAAAATTTAAGATCAGAAAACTCGCCGCCGGCACATCCCCGCCAAGCACAGCAGAGCCACGGCGACACGCACCAGCCCGCCTCCCAGACTCGTGCAACCATAGAAAACACGCATTCCGACAGGCGTTCCGTAAGGGTTTCTTTCCGACTGGATCACCGACCTAACGCTACCCAAGGATCCCAAGAAAAAGATCCGAAGATGAGCTGTCCTGTTTCACATCTCTACTTGGCGCATAGTGCCGGAGAGGGAGAGCCTTGTACATAGTCAGTCCAGTACTTTGTTGTTTACGGTTCGTCCAGTCATGTTCTCAGAGCTTGAAGGGGGTGTTCCCTGCCAGATACATCAGCTTACCACTCAGTGCCCCAAAATGACGCTGGGCTGCGGATGATCGACACCGCGTCCTGCCACTGGGATCAGCATCGGCGCAGAAATTTGACCACTAACAGAGGCTTTTATCTTGGGATGCTGGTTGTTCACTGGATGTTAGTCTCCGCCAGCCTTCGTCAAATCCACGCAACTCTTGACGCTATCCCCAGCTTTTCTTGCAGCTTCATGGGTAATTCTATTCGCAGAGAGACAGTCGAAGCAGCTTCGAAGCGGGGTAGCTCTACGTTTTCCCAAAAAGGCTCCAAAACTTCGCGGTGTCTCCATGTCTAGGCTAGCTGAGAGGAGGTGCGGGGACTGTGATGCTAAATTTAGGGCCTCACGATGCGCTTGCATCTTGGCACTCTGTCAAAAGAAATTTCAACCGACAAACAAAATTCGACACAAGGTCCAATGGAAATTTGAGGTCAAAAAAGCTTCAAACTCTGATTATGATCGAACGAACTTTTGGGCTTCTAGAAGTTTAATCGCAGCGAAAGAAACTACCGTGAGCTACTTTGTCCGGACAATTGTCGTCTGTTTGCTGATCTCTCCATGGGGTCCACGCAATATGCCAAGACATCACTGAAGCTTCGCCTCGCTGGAAAAGACGGGCGAAGGAGAAGAAAGCGAATCAAGTTGGATACAACAATCAGAATTGCGTAAAAGCCTCAATTTGGTATGACAGGAATAGACTCAGAGTGGGGACATCCGACTTGTACCTGTCCGGAAGCCAGACCGCAACTTCACGATCTATATTCGTCTGGTTGGGCTGGTCATGGAGTTGTTCTCTTGACCGTTTAGCCGGCTTGATTGAGCCCGATTGCTTGAAAGGTCTGCGTCGAGATCTGCGCATCGTCTACCAATACAGGGAAGTCCCAGCTCATCAAGGTTAAGAAGATTGGTCGTCATCTCGTGATCATCATACGCGTACGAGGTAGAGGCTTAGTACAGTTTGCAAGACATAAGTTTAAGTAGTGAGAAAATTGGAAACTACATCTAGCAGTGTCTGCTTCCTCATGATGTCCCGGATACTGTGTTCATCGAGTAGGTAACCTGGGAAAACCGATAGAGCAGAAACAGCAACATCGCCTGACTCAATGCGGGCTGGATAGGATACATTGAAGTTACTTGTTGTCGCTCCAGTCAAGCATGCCATCACAAAAGCCGAGTTACCATGTCACGAGATTTCTCGGTACGACCTGGATCATTTGAGTTTCTGAGATATAAAAAAGTCTGTTTCATCAATGTGGAATGGATACATCACTTGAAGGAAGTATCAAGTTTTACCATCGAAGACAAGCGGATTAAAATTTTTAATAGACTGGAAGTTGCGGAATCGTGTACGCGCTGCTTTTCATTAATGCTAGAACACGATTCCATTCCTGGAGAAGACGGTGTGCAGTGATTGCTGACGTTTGCCCATCGTAATCCTATAAGCAGAATGTCGTTAGGAAGGAGATCTTTCTTGATGTCTACAAGCTTCACAGAGGAAATGACTACAGGTACTTCTGAGGAAACCTTGACACCCGCGCTTCTTCATGGTGATCTTACAACCCATGGCATATTAGTCAAAGTGACTCTTGAGAGACTTCTCTCTTTCGCCGCTTGGAAGTGGTAAAACTTTTGCCTTAGTAGGACGTTTGCTCAGACGGGAGTTGAGAAATATGCGTCACGCAAGTAGTTTTATTGCTTTAGCTACTATTAACACTCGGTTAACAACGATGAGATAATGGTTGTCTAATAGGGATTAAGCTTACAGTTCGTTTAAAACGAATCACTATCACTGCAAAAAGCCAAGCTGTCATTGTCGTAGTCTGTAGATAAGCCCACGTATGCAGGCCACAGGACCCTCCGCCATAATTACTAGAAGTTAGTAATTGGGCCAAGAACTGAACCTGATGAACTGTCATATCGAGTGCTAGATAAAGTCAAGATTTGCCTCTCCAGTTTTCTCTAGTGCTGATCCATTTAGCACCTTTAATTAGGTATAGTACTTAGAAATACCACGGCTTTGATACATGATAACTTAGATTAATACGCGAGTTATACTACCCCTTATGACTAAAACGTATCTGCAAACCAGTATGACATTGTCCAGCACTCGATGGGATGATACCCAGAGGATACACACGCACTTTAAGGCTCTTGACTCGTAGCTCATTCATGGTCAAATTATTCAAGCCGCGCCTCATCACCATGGATGCCTTTGCTTTGAATTGTCAAGCTCAACAGAATTTGAGTCGCAAAGATCGGTGGCAGATCATGGGGGTAGCAACTTGTTTGTTGAGTGTCAATTGTATAAATTCACTCAATATCATCAACCAACTCAGTTTTATGTGAATATCTCTTGGCCTGTATTCTGATTCAAATCTATAAGATGATGGTATCAGTGATAGGTTGATTTTATATGTCATTTGACGGAACGCTAAATACTCTCTCAAATCGCAACTATGAACAAATATGTCGCTTCTCATTTGTAGAAAATTGAAGTCGTAAAATGTACTTTACAGTACTGTCGAGATCCCACCTATCTCAACTGCTTGGCTCAGAAATTTCAGCCCGACCATGAAGCTTGTGGGCTGCTCGACTGTCTGGGGTTGGTGGAGGTTGGCGACATGGGCTCTTCAGGTTGACCGGATTGTAGATGAGCTACCAGAGAGCCCATCCGAGCACCTGTGTTGACTGTTCAGATCTAAAAACTGAATTGTCTGTTTCTCATGAATCTCTCTCTGAAATCAGTCAAAAATCACGACAACTTTGTTCGCTTTGCCTGATTTGGCCAACTCCAACGCATCTATCGCCTGGTCAAACGGGATTTGATCACTGACGATCTCCGCGTACTTGTCCCAGTTGTCGACGATATCATCTGTGACCTCGAAAATCTCTGTCGGATATCCCACGCTGAAAACAATCGTCAATTCCGTCGAAATCAACTGTGCAAAGTTTAACTCCGTTGGCTTTCTGTGGACTCCTACCACACCAAATGTGGCGCCTCGCTTCGCCATCTTGCACACCTGCGCAGGGACCGGCGGTGCGCCCGCCGCGTCCAGAAAGATATCGGTACCAGGACGAGTGCCTCGGTTCTGTGCCGTCGCTCCGTCTCCTTGCAACTCAACCAACTTTGCCGCCAGATCTTCAGCTTCAGCTGAGTTGACGACAGCATCGGCGCCGACTTTGAGAGCCTTTTCGAGCCTCGCGTTGACCACGTCCACGACTACAATGTGGCTCGCCCCCTTTCTGCGATACCCCAAGACCGCGCCCAGACCGATGGGCCCCGCGCCAAAAACCACAACCTTGCAGCCCGGTTTCGGGCTCGTCCTGTTTACCGCGTGCAGGGCGACCGCCATGGGCTCGTTTAGTGCCGCAATGTGCCAGGGTATGCTCTTCGGAATCTTCTTCAGGTGCTTCCGTGGCTCGTAGTTGTAGATGACGACGTATTCGCACAGCGCACCCTGCGCACCGCCCGAGCCCAAGAGGCCGTCTTGAAAAACCATTGTGTCTACCACGACATGGTCGCCGACTTCGACGTCTGGTGACTCAATGCCCGCTCCGATTTCTGCAACTTCTCCTGCTGGTTCGTGGCCGAGGGGCGTACAGCCCTGGTAGGGCGGGATGCCGCCGTGGTCGGTGTACAGGCTGTCTGAGCCGCAGATACCGCAGGCTTTGATTTTGAGGAGAACGTCCTTAGGGCCAGCTTCGGGCTTCGGGTGGTCGACCCACGACACAACACCGGGCGCCGTGATTTCAACACGCTTCATGACGGGCTCAGGCTGGGACTGAACAAAGAGAATGTAAAAAGATGGTCGCTAGAAAACAGAATTACTTTTAGAGGAGAGTTGGAGCAGAAGGCCATCCTCTTGTGAGGAACATGTGTCCCGCCCATGGTCTCTTATATTCTATTTCCTCTTCGGTTTCAATTGACTTCATCGTATGGAAAGCGAGACCGATACCGAGACATCGTGAAGACGCAAATGAGAGGTAGCTGAGTGCGAAAGGGGGGGTATTGCGACGAAGGTTGACAACTGCTCCCCGAAACTAGCCCCCCTTACCATTTTGCTGGGGCCCCCTAGTTTAGTTCTGGATGCCACGAACCTTACTTTGGAGTTCGGGAAGTGGTTCAGTGCAACACATGCTCCCATTGGCGACCCAAGGTAGTGACTAAGCGCTATCAAGAGCACTACTCCCGCCGTTAGCCTTCGGGTTTAGGTTATGCTGCGGAGTACTCCGCCCGTGCCTTACTTCCAAGTTCCAGGACTCATCGTCGGAAGAAGAAATGACCGTGATAAGGGCATCATGCCAACAGAGCCCGCCAAGAAGATCTCGTGAGTTTCTGAGCCTCTATATGAGAGACAATGTGAAGATGACTGCTGACACTAGCTGTAGATGCAAGAGATGCCAATACCGAAAGGCATCTTGAACCCTCGCAACCTGAGTAGTCGTTACTTCACTGACTCGGCCTTCTGCGCTCATAGCTAAAATGCTCACGCACGGAGCCCTGCCAGAATTGCGCAACTGCTCAACAGACTTGCGAGTATCGAGAGGTCGACCGTAAACGACGGCCAGCGACACACGAATATGTCGTCAGCTTAGAGAACAGAGTCGCATGGCTGGAGTCGTTCATCGGCAAACTTCAAGCCGCGCCGAGCCCGGAGCGGGACAGCCTACTAAAGACCGTCTCCTTTGGGGATCACCTCTCGGCCCCGGAACCAGCTTCAGTAGTGAACGTGAGCGAAGAGAGAAATCCTGAGCCATCTCGAGGCAGCAGCGAGAACCTCCAGGTCGACCTTGAGGGTTCGCTCATCTACCATGGTGCGACGAGTATCTATCGCGCCCATCTCGGGGTGCCAGCGCGGGGCAACGCCTCACCCTCACGCGAGCTTTCTGCGAACTATGTTGTTGGCCCCGACTCAAATTTTGAGCATGTGGCGGAGCATTTCGGAATCAGCTTATACGACGAACTGGTAGATGACGCATTGATGCAGTTCTTCAAATGGCAGTACCCGCACTTCATGTTTATTTACCGAGAAGCCTTCTTGAGGGACCACTTTGGTGACCGGGTTCACGGCAAGTATTGGTCATCGGCTTTACTCCTGTCTATCTGTGCCCTGGGTACACTCATGTCACCAGACAAGCGCCACAGAGATGCGAGCGAGCAGTTCTTCTCCGCTGCCGAGAGCATACTCATCGTCTCCGGCTTCACGAAACCTTCAATCGTTACTGTACAGGGCTTCCTCTGCCTGGCATTCTACGAGATTGGAAGAGGAAATCTCTCAAAGGGATGGGGCTTTTCGGGTAAGTCCTTGCTTATGATGCCCAGTTCGTTGATACGTGATGTTGAATATGGGCGGGTCTAGGAATCGCGTTCCGCATGGCACAAGACATGGGGTTTCAGAGGGACCCGAAACATTGGGTATCCCACGATGCATCGCTAGCTACCGAGGAAGATTTGGAGATTCGCAGACGCATCTTTTGGGGATGCTACACTTCTGATAAGTTGATTAGCCTGATCCTTGGACGATCAGTCTATCTTTTCTACGATGACGCAGAAGTCGAAACCACCAACAGGCTCCCGTAGGTCCAAGATGTATATCTACGAGTTTCCACCTTACCATGTATTGACTGCCGATCAGAGACTTTCCAGAGATGAAGCCCTGGCTCTCTGCTGGGTTCTCGGATTATGACGGGGAGTTCGATGTCGTAAATCCCCTCATCCCGTGTTTCAAGGAGCAGATCCGGCTTTCCAAGATCATCGAGAAGATGCTTTCAAAGTTGTTCTCCACCAAGAGCAGCCTGGAGGGTATCGGTCGCCAGTCGTGTCTCGACAGCCTCAACTTTGAGCTGTGTAGCTGGTATGAAGCATTGCCGGACTGTGCGAAATGGAACAGATGGGAACCATCAAGCACCCTGCTCATCCCAAGCGTGGCAGCACTTCAGTTAGTTCAATTCCACTGACCACCCCCTCCCCCCCTTTTCTATCGCTTTGATCGTGCAAGATGGGGCTGAAAACTAATTCCACCATCAGTTTGCTCTTTCACAGCGTCCGCATTGCGCTAAATTTCGAGCAAGCGGTGTCTCATGACATTGCAGCTCTGAAGGACAACGCCCGCAAAGACTCCTTATCATCTGCGGAAGACATCGCACACATTGTACGGAAATACCGCAGCCAGTATGGTCTTGGACACAGCCCTCTTATGATGATCTACGGAGTCATGCAAGCGGTGAGAACGCTGTCGTTATTCGGCACGCCGGAAGAAGCTCAGTACTTGTTGCATGTTTTGGACGAATGTTCATCTGCCTGGACATTGGCCCACCAGGCGAAAGATAGGTTGGCACGAATCGAGGTGTGAGGTGTGAGATGCTGTTGCAACTTTCCACCATCCATTTAACTTGCGTAGAGAGTAAAGCAGTCCAGCACCATGCCATACTTTAAGAGATAGCCCTCCCCAATTTGAGCATTTCAATAGAGGGGCAAGATACTGCACTAATTATATGTCAAGCTCCAAGACTGTTAACAAGGGGGGTTGGCGCTTCTAGACACAATGGATATTTCAACGGTATGTAGTGTCGTCATTCTAGTGCAAGTCATGAACTACATCCTCTATCTCTGAGAGCCCTCAGGGCAAGGGAAGGCCCGCCTCTAATCCTGCCTTTAGGACACCAGCAAGCTTCTTCACATCTGAGGTGTTGTTGTAGAAACCAAAAGAAACTCTGATGCCCAGACGATAGGGCGTAACAAGCACACCACTCTCCTTCAAGAGATCCATCCACCTCGGGTCATGCAAATCCAGAATGTACAAATGAGGCGCATGATCCTTGCGAGCCGAGGGCCCGACTATCTTCACCCCGAGACTTCGGCACTCCTCTCTCAACACATCACCCAGGCGGTAAAGGTGCTCCTGCACACGCCCGGGACCCATGGAATCCAGATAAAACGTCAAAAACGCCTTTGCAGCCGCGGCACTGATCAGGCTCAAATTCAGATGCTCGTATCGGCGAGTGGAAGAGTGATATATCACCTCCTCGGAAGGGACCAACAAGTCAGCGCGCACGTTGCTGACGGCCCCATAACCGACGATAGGCGGAGTGGGGTTGGTGTCAGCGATGAACTCCGGGTTGACGTAGAGAACCGCGAAGCCCGTCGGGCAGTTCAAGCCTTTGTGCAGACTGAAGGCCGCCGCAGAAACCCCCAGAGCTCGTACGTCCACTTCTGCGAAGCCGACCTGCTGCGTGAGGTCTGCGAGAACGTGAATGCCGCGTGGTCTGTATGTTGCGCAGATGTCGGCCACGTCGTTCCACTGGCCGCTGTGGAACATGATGGAGCTGAGACCGATGGCCCTGGTACGCTCGTCGACATACGGCGCAAATGTTGCGGCGTTGGCGGCCGTGACGTGCCCGGTTTCTTCCGCTGTCGAGATGGTGGGCACCTGTCGAACCTCGAGGCCGGCTCTACGGAGAGCCATCCACCCGTAGACGTGGTTTGGGTGCTCTGTGTCCAGGACGACGACGTTGTCGCCAGGCTCGAATTTGAGGCTTCGGATGAAACACCCCAGTGCCTCTGTCGTGTCACGGGTGAAGGCTAGGGAGCTTGGGTCGGCGTTGATGTACCTGCCGACTAAAGCACGAGTCTTTTCGACAGCGTTCTGCCATTGAGGCTTTGGATGAGGGTTGTAGAGGGCATCGGAAGTGAACTTGGCGATGGCACCGTGGATTATAAGGTTTGAGGGGGGTTGGTAGGAGGCATTGAGGTAAGTGAGGCTCTTGTCAGCCAGAAGAGGGACTAGAGACCGGAAGGTGGAGAAGTCGGCTTCCGAAGGAGGTTGAGGGGATGATTTGATCGAGGTTGGGACATCGTCCACATGTTCTTGAACAGCACTAGGCGACATGATGAGTCTAAATGGGTTGTATAGGAGAAGAGATAAGTTTGATGAGATTGAGGTACAGCGATAGACTCGGCTCTCCGTCCTGACTCTGCCAGCTTTTATCGTATCCTCATGTTCCTATATCGGCACCATTATCCAGAATTATTTTTCGGCGATTGGTCGATGGCCCGATATGACTCTATAGAACTTGACGCGTATCAGTTTATGGACGTATCATTGGCAAAGCTAGCTCATGGAGGTTGAAGTCCGTCTTTAGTACCTGGCGGATGATTAGGATCTCGGAGCGCCAAGTGTGCGGGGCAATCCTGATAGTATCACCCGCCGAGCCGTACGTTCAGCCTCCGAAACTTGTCTTTCCTGGAGTGATAGACTATGGCTAGTGCTGAGTATGTCATCTGTGTGACCTATGCGTTGGGTCAATATCGAATCATCTGATGTCGTTGCAGGGTCACCCCAAGGATTCACGATCGTCAATCCGGCAGCGCGGACTTCGACCTCCATTTGCGGGTCGCACGTTGATAAGAGGCCCCTTTCCCCGCATGTTGGTGCAATTTCGCTCCACGCAAACGTCCTTAGTCTGTGGATTATCTGGACAATGTGTTAGTCCTTATCGGTTCCCCAGGTTCCAAGATAACTCTGGATCACGGAGAATAACTTCCATACACTTCATGACTTTAACAATCGCTAAGCCGAGAATATGTTTTGCGAGATAAGTCCGGAAGGCAAATACGCCTAGTTCCTTTGGCCCTTATCTTGTTGGCACGCAGGTTATAAGAAACTGCTGCCCGGCGTCGAGAACCGACTATTGAACATCATAATCACTCACGGTTTTTTTTTCCATTTGTTTCAATTGCTTCAAGTGCTTATGATTAAGAAGTCACACCGTAGCATACTCTGAATCCTTTGGACAAAACCGCCTTCACAATGGGCAGCGATGATATCAACAGCAAACATGGCAAAACCGTCAACGATGTCGTCGACACAGTGGTAGAGCCTTCGGGCATGAAGCATTCAACCTCCAACGTCGAAGGGACCTCCACAGAGACGACAGGCGAACAACAACAACTCAAGCGGGAGTTCAAAGAACGTCACGTCTCTATGATCGCTGTCGCCGGCGCTATCGGAACCGGGCTCATCATCGGCTCTGGTACGGGTCTCGTCAGGGGCGGTCCCGCGAGTCTGCTGATCGCGTATACCCTCATCGGAGCGGTCGTCTTCTTCATCATGACGGCCGTGGGAGAGATGGCGACGATGCTTCCTTCGGACAAGGGGTTTGCTGGATACGCTACACGTTTTGTTGATCCGGCTTTGGGGTAAGACTAGAACCACACTGTCGACACGAACTTCTGTTCGGAACAAGCTAACTTACACGTGGAAACAGTTATGCCACGGGATGGAACTATTTCTTAAAATACGCTATCGTCCTCCCCAACAACCTCACTGCAGCAGGCATCATCATACAATATTGGAGACCTGACCTCAATGTCGCCATTTTTGTGACAACCTTCACCATAGCCATTATTGCTGTCAATGTAAGTCGAGTATCCGGACAACTACTATTACTCTTTAGACTAACGAACCATCAGATCCTACACGTCTCTTTCTTCGGCGAAGCAGAATTCTGGATGTCCGCCGTAAAACTCCTCGTAATCGTAACCCTCATGCTAACCTGTTTCATAATCTCCATGGGCGGACAACCCTCTCACGAAACAATCGGCTTCAAATACTGGCACAACCCAGGCGCCTTCGGCTCCTACCTCGTCGAGGGGCCAACAGGCCGGTTCCTCGGCTTCTGGGCTGCAACAGTCCAGGCCTGCTTCGCTTACACCGGCACCGAAGTCGTCGGCGTGGCCTTTGGCGAAGCGCCCAACCCGCGCCGGACGATCCGCAAGGCCGTGCGCCAGACGTTGTGGCGCATCGTGTTCTTTTACGTCTTGGGTGCGCTGGTGCTGGGGATGTCGGTGCCGTATACCAACGACATGCTTATCGGCGGGACGAAGAAGAGTACCGGGGCCGCCGCGAGTCCGTTTGTTGTTGCGGTGCAGATTGCCAACATCCCAGTGTTTCCACACGTCGTCAACGGGTGTCTGCTTGTCTTCGTCCTGAGCGCTGCCAACTCGGATATTTACATCGGGTCTCGTACGCTCTTTGGTCTAGCGCGGGATGGCCAGGCGCCAGGGCTATTCATGAGGACGTCTGGAAAGGGCGTTCCGCTTTACGGGGTCGCGGCTACGAGCGTCTTTGCGGCGCTAGCTTACATGAATGCCTCCAAGAGTTCATCCCAGGTGTTCGGGTATCTGGTCAGCTTGGTCACGGTATTTGGCACCCTCAACTGGGTGAGCGTCTTGACCAGTTACATCTGCTTCACCAGAGGTATGCAAGCGCAGGGTATCCCGAGGAGTCTGATGCCGTATCGTGGGCCGTTGCAGCCGTACGGCTCATACTTTGCTCTATTTGTGACCGTACTGGTTGTCCTGTTCAATGGTAAGTCCACGCCTTCTTAGTTGATTACACGAAGATCAATTGCGCGATCTTTCTGACACTAATCACAGGTTACAATGCCTTTATCCCTAAGTTCACAGTATCCACTTTCATGACCTCCTACATCGGCGTTGCCATCTATTTGGCCAATATTTTCAGCTACAAAGTCTATGCCAAGACACGGCGGGTAGAGCTTCACTCGATGGATCTCGTTACCAACAGGCTCGAGGATGACGGAAGCAAGTATCCCAGTACATTGGAGAAGGCGGCTTCATGGGCGGCAGAACGACTTAGGCGATAGGATTGACATTATTCAATAGATATTACATATATGGACAGGTTTAATTCGCAAGTGGTATCATCGCGGCTCTTCAGGTCTTGCCCCATCCGACATATATCCACATGCACTCATCACCATGATATCTTCACTCGCCAGCTATCATACAATAGCAAAATCCATACGTACATCTCCAGGTTAACAGCATTTGAGTTCGGATTGGGATGCCTCTAAGCCGCAACCTTCTCGCCCTTGGTAGTCTCAGTCAGGCCCTCAGCGGGAATCTCAGCATCGGTGTTCTCGAAACTCTCGCCCCTCTTCATGCCGAGCTGGCGGGTGTCGTAGCCGTTTGCTTCCAAGTAAGCGCGGTAGCGCGCGTCCTCGAGTGCAATAGTGTCTTGGCCGATGTGCGGCAGGCAGAAAATCGCGAGGGCGGCGGACAAGACGCAAAGCGAGGAGGATACCCAGAAGGGATATTGGGCAGAGGCGACGGCGTTGTCACCGGCGGCTGCTTGGATGTATGGGAAAACTAGATTGACCTTGTTAGCCAAATAATCTCTATAACCTTTGTTACACCAGGCATGTGTAACTTACCCCATGTACCGACGAAAGCGCCAATCTTGCCAATGGCAGCAGCGACACCATAGTACTTGCCGCGGATGCCCGTCGCGCAAGTCTTTGCGGCAAGCAGACCGATGTTGTTACCGGGACCGAACTCGCCGAGCGCCAAAAAGATGCCGTAGACGACGACAAAGCCGCCGACCATGCCGGGCTGCGATAAGTTGAAGTAGTCGCCGGCCATGATGAAGCCGACGACGGCCTGCAGGAAGACACCGAGCGCGAGGGCGTAGCGAGGACCAAGCCAGTCCGAGGCCGGGGCGCCAAGCATGGTGCCGGGGATGTAGAACAGGTTGATGACCGTGTTCCAGCCGAAGATGGTGGTGAGCGGAGCCGTATCTCCATACAGGTTGCTCAAGATTGTTGAGGAGTAGATACCGAAGGAGTAAGCGGAGAACTGATGTCGGAAATTAGTGTGTGTGATTCATCATAGTGCCCACAGCTTCGACATGACTTACATCATAGATGAACCAGATCAAGCTGACGACGAAGAGACGCCATCCGTAAAACTTGAGTGAGAGAAGGTAGGGCGTCTTCGCGTAGCGCATTGAGTTCTTGGTCGATGCTTCGGGCTCCTTGACGAAGAGACGGAGGGCGAAGAGGAACATGGGGAATACGACGCCGATGCCCAAGCTGGTGCGCCAGATGGTGCTGTAGTGACCATTGTGGCAAGCGGCTGCGACGACGTATGGCACGAATGCTATGCTCTAGTATCAGTATCGCCAACATCAAGATCAAGAGTCTGAAGAACGAACCGCCAATAACGAAACCCTGGTTCACAATGTTAGCAAACATGCAATTGACAGTAAGAAGATGGCGAGGTACGAACCCAATCAATCATGGTGTTTGTGAACATGATGAACCATAAGTTTCTCGAGCCCGACTTTAGCTCGCCGGTGGACTCTGCTGCGCCGACGCTACCCGCGGGGTACTCTCCTCCAATGCCGATACCGACCTAAATGTCATCGCGATGACGTTAACAATTGCACTTTTTTCTGAGCCCATGCGCTTATCCCGAGCACTTCGAGCCAGATTTGACAACGAAGCAAGGAGGGCCAGTCTGGTTCAGACTTACAAAGAATCGCCATGCGGCCAGGATGTTGAACATGCCAATATCGTCACCCTTGTAATAGGATCCGGCGGCGAGCGCAGTGAAGACGAGCAGGATAACGGTCGACACGAGCAGCGAGTTGGTTCGCGACCAGTGGTCAGCGAGCCAGCCGAACGCGAGCTGTCCAACGACGGTGCCAGCAAATGCGATGTCGCCAACATACTTCTTGGCGTTGGAGTTCTTATAGAGGTCGCCGTACTGCAGTGCGAGGATCGTGGTGACGGATCCGATGACCTATGCCCCACGTCAATGACAGTTCCTGAGAGATGTTATGCCGAAAGCGGTTGCGCTCACGTTGTTGATGTAGCCGTCGGAGAAGAGACCGGCACCGCAGGCAATGACGGGCACAATGGCCTTCCGGAACGGTTGGCGGGGCGCATCGTCGACGGCGACGGCCTCTTGCGCCGTTGCCTCGGACTCTGCCGACTTCTTTCTTCGGAAGTTAAGCATTGTTGCGGCTCTTTTTCTCGTGTAAGTGCTCAAAGCCGCGCTCAGTGTGTCGAAGGGAGAAAGGCCCTACGACACTGCGACAGAAGGAAGCGAACAATCGAGAAGATGACGGCACAGACAAGATTTTGTGCGTGCGCGAGGGGGGGGAGAGGCGAGAGGTTGTGCGAAGCGGCGCGCGAAGGTTAAAAAGAATAGGCGCGACGAGTCAAGAAGCGCAAGGGGAAATCAACATGGTATTTATTCGGACGATCACAAGCCCGTCGGGCCAGCCACAGCACAATCTGCCAACCAGAGGGGCCTCTCTTCTCTCATGCTGCTTTGCGGTGTCTCTTCTTTCCCCCACTTACCACACGCCCTCGGAAGCAGCTCTGCTGTTGGTTGCTTTCGTTCTATGGTGAGTAAGTATTTGTGACAGACAAAAAAGAGAGTGATAAACCTTGGGAATGCCTCGGGTGTCCCGTCCCACCCTACCTTGTTCCCCGGCGGACGGGACCCGGGTTCACCCAATAATGGGCAGCCAGCCCCGATGCAACATAATCGAAAGGATTCTATGGGTCCCTCTCCCCTCTCTCACGAGTCACCCACGGCTCCCAGAGCGATTCTTTAGAGGCAGACGAGTGGTCTGTTGGTTGTCTTTCGAGGGAGAACGAATCCACACCAGATAACATTTGCGGGCAGATACCGGGTTGTATGCTGATAAGGCACGGTTATGCGGCAAGAGGGGGAGGAGTTTGGCGATTCCCTACGGAGTACATACACCCATTGGGACTTTTCGGTCTGGGCGCGGGCAACACACCATACGCCGCTCACCTGGGGAACACGGGGAGGAATCCTGAAGAACCAGAGCACGGGGAGAGAGGAGTGGAGGGAGCCGTGGAGGGAGTGTGGGAACCCGATGTTACCCATCCGCTAGGCGACCTGTTGGTTCGTGCAGAGCTGCAGTAGTTCATGTGTTTCTCGACTCGTCTCCCGCTTTCCACAGGTTGATGAACAGGTGGCACAGATGACGCTGCAATGAGAAGAAGCACCGTAAGCCAGAGAGAATCGGTGGTCGCGTGTCTTATTTCCTACAACAGCCAATTGTGATTCGATGAGAAAAGGATGCATCGCTAAGCATTTTCCAAGCGGTCTAGCGCTTCTCGGCAGCCCTAGGAGGCTCACTTCACTTGGCGCTCTCCCACCTGCTGCCAAGGCTTTTCCCATGCGACCTTGTTGTTGCTGAGCTAGGGTACGTTGGGGGAAATTGTTAGCGTAGTTGTGGTTTGCCTCGAGCACTGTATGCTGACCTGTGACACATGAAAACCTACGAGCGAATACGTTCACAACTTTCAACACGTGCTGCTTCTTCAAAGTATTAGCAACCGAGACTAGGCCGATTATTTCGCAAAACATGCGACATGGAATCCATAAATCGTTGAAGGATAGCCGAAGAGGTGGACAGTAAGTCCGATATTACAAAGACTCCAGGCTAGATCTATTGAGTCTTGGACAGCAGATCGGTCGCCGAACTGCCGTCATCCGAGAGAAAAACTTTAATACCAAATTGCGCGGCTCAAGCATCTGCATGAGAGCACGTGGTCGGGTTGCTCCGTACATACAAACATCATTTCTCAATTCACAAGCACTGGGATGTATCATGGTAAAATCTCTGCGTATTGCCGTTGCGCGACCTTTTTCCCTGCGGCCAATCCAGTGCCGTGTTGCCCACCACGTGCTTGCGGCGCCGATGTGCCGCCTTTGCCGGCCCGCCCCGGCTTTCGGTCCTGTGGCGGCGCGAGGACCCTCTTCTGCCCTCCCGGGACCCGACATTGCCGTGTGGAGGCGTTACCAAGGTCAAGATCGGTCAGTATTTAGTCTTCTAGATCCGTAAGTTTGCAGAAGTCTCGATGTTTGCTTGATGATTCGAATACGTTCAACACCATCATCGATGGACAGAATTGACATCAATTATCTGTACGATGTGTCCGGTCTCAATTTAACTCGTTCGCTGATTTCGTTTTAGTCGCTCAAAAGGTGAAGGTATCACACGTCCGGCGATTCGCCGGAAACTTACGAGCACAGCAGAAAATGACTTCCTAGAAAGTCGAAGAGCGAAGGGCAGCGAGGAAATATATATAAACTCGGTGAGAGCATGTAAGGAAGCACGTAACAGAATGGCAGCTTTGTCTGTGCTGAATATGCCAGCCGTACTGCTCGCATTCGGTTCCAGACAGTAACTTTGTACGGAGTACTCCGTACATTGTAGCACTAAAAGATAATTAGATTAACAGAGTCAGTCGCCGCAAAATTTGTCGATCAGTGCCAAATACTACGTGGCCTAACGATTTGTCGTCTGAATAAGCTCCAGAAAAACCATCCGGTTCAATCTCATCATGGCAACTTTTTGGCGAGCTGAGTAGTTCCCTCCGGCGCATTCATATACGCCCGCTCTGTACGTGGATGCACGCATACACCGCCAGGTCTAACTTAGTATCTATCGTCTACAAAACTGTCGCGAGAACCACGCCCGTTCATCGAGGGCAGCATTCAACGCTCAATATACTACAAGAATAATCTGCTACGCCATTCTGGTAAAAACTTCAGTATAACATGAAGGAATATGTGAACTTCTTGATGCAATGACGCTTCGAGGGATCACCACTCTCTGGATTGCGAGATGATATCCACAGATGCGACTGGCCCTGGGTCCCAAAGAACGGTGTTTGCATTGCGTTTATATGACCATTACTCATAACACAAATTTGCGACTATTTTGCGAACAAATGAATGGCCATGGTTTCAAGTTAAGATTGAGGAAATAGAGTTATCGTCAATTGACTACCATGACTCGATTGCTTGGTCCTTGACATTAGTGTCACAAAGCTTCGACATCGAATACTCGTATTCCGCAGTGATCCAGTTGGTCTGATCACCGCCAGTTTTCGTGTCATATAAGTAAGATCTGATGCACCAATCTCACGATTAAGAGTCTGGAGAAGACATTTACATGCTGATTCTTCTTCATCGTCTTTCACTCTTTGAACGTCACTCACTTACATTACCTCAACACACATTCATCATGCATGCGTCCACTATCCTCGCCCTCCTCACAGCCTCTGCTGTTCAACTCGTCGCTGCGGGTGGTTTCGCGTCAACATGCAGCGACATGTCCTACTCGGGCACCACATTCACCGCGAAGTGCAAGAACACCTTTGTCGATCCCTACTTCGAGGACGCCCCCATCAACTTGTCAAAGTGCCTTGCCAACGTCGGGGGCAAGGTTGTTGTATGTCTATTTCTCCTTTCATGCTAGGTCATCAGAAGATTCGCAGTTCGATTGACTAACTCCTCAACCATGCATAGTGCCGTCCTAAGAGGTAAAGTCTTTTTCAAAAAGATCAGGATGATTAAGGAATCCCCTAAATACTGATATGTCTCTCCCCAGCCCATCCTTCAAGTTTTGTGACTGCGGTCTTGGCAGTGACAAGAAGATTTTGAACTGCCGTTGCACCGACTCTACTGGAACTAAGCAACCTTCTTCGCTGAACCTTGGTATGTACACGCATTGTGTCATAACCAGCTAGATGCCTTCAAAACTTACAGTCTTCTAGATACCTGCCTGACCAACAACGGCGGAAGCTTGTCATGCTAAAGCCTCGCGCCGGCCACAAGTGAATTTGGTTCGAATACATAGAGTGATAGGGAAAACCTCAAGGCTCAGGACAGTGGGAGCTAATCGAGAGATGTATACTTTGTCAGAGGGTCAAAGGCTAAATGCCCCAGACATGTTTAAGCGGAATGTGTATTTGGTGGATTACTGAAGACCTCGACTAAGTATCTAATCGAAGTGTATTTATAGACGAGCCTCGGTATCTTCAAATCCCGTCTTTGGCCATGTGTATCCTCTGCGCCTGTCCTTTGTATCCGGCCGCGCCCATACCAGACCGCAACCAGGCTGGCCCTAAGCGTAGAAGTCAGGCCGATCTTAGTGTCTGTTCTTATGCCCCTTGACCATCACCTCCTCTTTTACGCTTGCCCGTCGGACCGTCCGCGGGGAAGGACGATATCGCCAAGCTAGTGCTGTGTCTAGCTGACTTCGAGACCCTGCCGATCTCCCGGCTAGCTCAGAGACTGAAGTGGAAGAGGCTGTCCGCAATAGCACAGGCGGTGAATGTGGCCCTGCATCCTGATCCCGAGTCTACCAGACGTGCCAGCTGTGCGGCATCGGAAAGCTCCTAGCTAGGCACTTGACGACACTGCCATAAGGCATCTCTAGGTTTCTGCTTGTTGATGCGAAAGCGAAAGCTCAACTTCGATGCCGCTGGTGTGGTGCAGGCCAGCCCCACAGACGCCTTTAAGCCAGTACGGAGTTGAGTAACATCCTGGTAGGACTCACGGCGTCTTAAGTTACCAGTGTCACAGCGGCTTAGCAGAGAATCGTAGTCAATTCACCACGAGACATAGGCTCGAGCCCACTACCGACTTTTGGCATTGATTTGATAGCAAAGGCTCAGACTTGCCCCAAATATTTCGGTCGAGAGCCCACATCCGAAGTTCCAAATGCCGTGTGAAATCAGCTGTCATTCTGATGGATGTGTACTTGATCATGCCTCCGTTGGCTTAACGTCGTACTCGACTTCCGTCCTAATCACGTACTTGGCGCCCTTTCTCACACCAGTACCCTCGTGAAGAGGTGCACCCTTTGCATCTCCATGCGGGAAGACGGCGACTCCGCCCATGACTGGTCGCACTGGGTACGCATTCAGCGTGCCTTCCCGCGCCGCTGGAAGGAAGTAAGTTGTTTCGCCGCCCTCGAATTCGTCGTTTAAGTAGATGAGGAACGTGAACAGGGAGCTCTGCTTCTTGTCTTCGGGCGATGCATCGTAGACATATGTGTCGTCTGGAAGAATACCAGAAGGCGGCCAGGCACCGTCAATGTGCGCGCGGTACTCGGCTCCGGGGACGTAGCGGTACACGCGGAACCGCCGGTTGAGGCCGCGCACCTTCCGTCTCTCGACTGACTGGGGAACAAAGGACGAGACTCTGGACCAAAGCGCATCGTGGAAGGCTGTATCAACGACCCAGTAGAAGTTGTGCGCAAGAATGCTAATGTCCCCATCCTCACGAAGAGGGGCATCGGGGAGGAAGTTGACAGTTTCGCCGGCGGTTATGATTGCTTTGCATTCGTCTACGGAGAGAACGTCTTTCAGGAGGCTGAGCCCTGGCACGACAGGGTGTGCGTGTGCTGTTACTGGTGGCCGTTCGTCGACGAGGGGTATCGTGTTCGGGGCGGTCGTGTAAAGGAGTGCATCGTGGTGGTTGGGCGGCTTCCGAAGCGGGCCGGGGGTTCGTTCGATGACGCGAAGAGACGCTGCCAAATTCGCCGGCGCTGATTCAAAGATTGTCTTGTCAAGTACAGAGGCGTATACCTGAAGGGATGGCGTGGTGGGGCGGAGATCCCAGGTGTCCTGCAGGGCGATTCCGGGTGTAGAAGAGAGCGGCAAAGGCATGGCCTTGGGATTGCTGTCGGAGTGCCCACAAGCTCGTAAGACGGCATCAAGAACCAAGAGTCGCTGCTTGTCCCTTTCAGTTCTCTGTAGGGTGACGCCGTCTCCCTCCCCTTCAGGCAATGTGGATAGGCCGCTAATGACGTCTAGGTCTCGCACCCAGCGACACAGTGCTCCTAGCTTCGGTTCCTGGCCACGGATTCTCATTTCGGATAGCAGTATTCTGGCATCATCGTATTTCTCGTCGGTGAGCGCGCCGGTGATTCGTGCCGTAAGTCCAAGATTTGTACCGGCTGAAGCAATCAATTGTCAGTTCCTGGCAGATAGCGACATCGTGTGATATGGGGTCTACACACGGGCATTGTTGACACCACTTGCGCAATTCTGACGGAAGTCATAGACGGCAACGCGAAGGTCTCGGCATTGCTTCGATTTGATAAGATTCGGGTATTTGGCGAGGGTATTCAACGTGTCAATGGCGATGTCGAGTTCCTCGTCCGATATGACCGTCTGGAGGCTCTTGGGCTCGAGGTTTGAGGCGGTATTGTCGTCGCTGTCAGGTGGCGTAACTGTTGTCGCTGCGGTCTTGGGAGCTTTTCGCGGAAGCTCCTCCTGCGCGTTTTGCTTGCGCTTCTTCGCGGCCTTTGATTTCGCCATTGTTGAGATGTTACAATCGTGATGAGGCGTTTGTCGTCGGACGAAGAAGTAGGAGTAGAGTGGCGTTCAGTGGGCTGAGATTTCGGACCAAAGCTTCGAAAGTTCCAATGCACCACCGCCAGTCCAAGGGTCTTGCCCCGCCGAGGGGTTCGGCCAATCGCCCAGTTGCAGCCTGAGGCATCGAAGCTGAATCCCGCTGTGGGGCCGGCCTGTGTCCGGGGCGGATCGGTCTAGGTCCGGGGTACCCTTGGCTAGACCTACTTCCCCCCGCTTCATTATTCAATCTACTCAGTTTTGAGGTGGCACAATAATGAGGACTACTCCGTATTACGACTACAACTCGGAATTCTGTCGCTGCGAATCATTATCTCGTTGTGTTGGCAAGCCAACTGTCGAACAAGTAGTAATGTTGGCCAAACTATTCCGTCAATCATATTTTAAATTATAGTCCAGGGCACAATGCATAGAAGAGTCTTCGACAGTGCAATGAAGACCCAAGATTCTTCAAAGAAGCCAGAAGATCAGGGTTCATGTAGCTTCTGTGAGGATTACCACATGCTGTATAGTATACCAAAGTGGCTATAATATTGAGTTTTGAAAAGCCTGCACGTGATTCGCATTCAAATCGGCGGCTGAAAGCCGAAAAGGAACCGATATGAGCGGTCAGTTAGTGGGACAGAGAGTGCAGTTTGTTGCTGCACAACAGGCTGTATGGGTTCAGTGTCAATTCTCCTCATGGCGCTCTGACCTGCAACGCCAAAGCCGGTGCGGGACCATGCGGGTGTTGACTATCTCGAAATCCGACGCGGAATTATGACCGTCTGGATACCAGCAGTCGCAGCTCTAAATCTGTCAAGAAACGTCATGGGATGAAATGTCAAGGAGCTTGCAGATGCATAGAATGCGGACCCACTATGCTCATACGAGGGATGAAGCGATGCACATGCATAACAGGCCAAATCGAGAGGTCTACACAGGAAGTTGCAACGCCTGGCTGCGTTTGTTACGCAAGGCTCATACGTACAACATCTAAATTGAATAAACCCAGACAGAGCGAAGCGGTCTCTAAAAGAACCCTGTGAGCCGAATGAACCAACAAATAGCGGCAAGGTTTTTGATGTCGACGGACTGCGACGGGCCCCGGAGAGTAGACTTAAGCTTCTAGTGGGTTTGGTAGCTGTCCTGTGCTTCTCAGGTGTTTTTACCATTGCCCGCTCGGGGTCAGAGTAGAGGAACTGAGTTCTCTAGTCAGAGTCTAAGGGCGGCATAGCCGTCGATCACGAAGCTTCCCCAGATGCCAGTTCACACCCTCACACAACACTGGGTGTGCAAGCACCAATCAGCAAAAGCCAGTTGATGCTTGACGTAAATCGTGCACAAGGAATAACATCGCGGACATTGGCGGACATTCGTGGAGTTGGTTACACATTCGCTCTGTCATTCCCGCACCAGACCCGAGCGCTAAGGAGTACTCCGTACAGCACCAGAGCAAACAAACCGTTAACTGCCGAGTCCTGGACGGGTAGCAAGTGCCGGGATCTAGATCACGAGTGGGGGGCGACGTACACCGGAGTCGGGCCAAGCCGGGCGAGTTATGCATGAAATGTGCAAAGCACGGAGACCATCCGACCCACGGTGACGCTCGCCCGCCGCTACACTCCGCGGAAGCTTAGGTTTATCTCCAGATTCTCCACAAGTATGTAACGGTATGCCGCAGTAGTCCTACGAGAGATCGTCGTTTCACAGGGCGTTCGGCTTTCAAGGTTTGGACCGAATTCCGTCGCCTAAATCAACCATGAGTTGATAAAAAGTGCCTTGATGCCAGACTTGAAGATAGGATTGATGAGCTGCCACCTATCAAGTTCATCCCGTCTGTAATCATCTTGACAGTTTCAGGTTTCGCGGGGAACCCACGCTACTCAACATGTCGGACCACAGTACTGGCTTCACAGCCCAAATCCTCAATATCCGTACCCTCTGTTCAGCCTTTGCTCTAGTTATTACTCTGGTACGTGATGACTTGCAATCCTTCAAATCTAGTGACCAATTAGATTTCACTGTAGCCCTCGACGCTGACCGCATCTGACCACTCATCTAGGGCGTCGCTTACCTTTTCGGGACCATCATCTACAACGTCTTCTTCCACCCCCTTCGCGTATACCCTGGACCAAAGCTCTGGGCAGCCTCGCGCATCCCCTTCACTCGCGCTACCCTTTCTGGCCAGGTCCACCGCAAGATCTTGGCGCTGCACCAGGAATACGGACCCATCGTCCGCGTCGCTCCCAACGAGCTCGCATACAACTCCCCCGACGCCTGGAAAGATCTCCACGGACACCTCAAGAACGGTACCGGCGACCACGGACGAGATCCCGTCGCGACCCAGGATAGCAGGCATGGCATCATCGGCGCCAACCGCGAAGACCACTCGCGGTTCCGACGGGCCCTGTCGCATGGCTTCTCCGCGCAGTCTATGCTGGAGCAGGAACCC